GGGGCCAGGGGCGGCTGCTCCAGGGGCTGCTGCTGCTGGGGCGGCTGCTCCAGGGGATGCTGCTGCTGGGGCGGCTGCTCCAGAGGCTGCTGCTGGGGCGGCTGCTCCAGGGGCTGCTGCTGCTGGGGCGGCTGCTCTAGGGGCTGCTGCTGCTGGGGCTGCTCCTGCTGGGGCGGCTGCTGCTGGGGCAGCTGCTCCAGGGGCTGCTGCTACTGGGGCGGCTGCTCCAGGGGCTGCTGCTGCTGGGGCGGCTGCTCCTGGGGCTGCTGCTGCTGGGGCGGCTGCTCCAGGGGCTGCTGCTGCTGGGGCGGCTGCTCCAGGGGCTGCTGCTGCTGGGGCGGCTGCTCCAGGGGCTGCTGCTGCTGGGGCTGCTCTTGCTGGGGGGGCTGCTGCTGGGGCGGCTGCTCCAGGGGCTGCTGCTACTGGGGCGGCTGCTCCAGGGGCTGCTGCTGCTGGGGCGGCTGCTCTAGGTGCTGCTGCTGCTGGGGCGGCTGCTCCAGGGGCTGCTGCTGCTGGGGCTGCTCCTGCTGGGGCGGCTGCTGCTGGGGCGGATGCTGCTGGGGCGGCTGCTCCAGGGGCTGCTGCTGCTGCTGGGGCGGCTGCTGCTGAGGCGGCTGCTCCAGGTGCTGCTGCTGCTGGGGCGGCTGCTCCAGGGGCTGCAGGTGCTGGGGCTGCTGCTGCTGGGGCGGCTGCTCCAGGGGCTGCTGCTGCTGGGGCGGCTGCTCCAGGGGCTGCTGCTGCTGGGGCGGCTGCTCCAGAGGCTGCTGCTGCTGGGGCGGCTTCTCCAGGGGCTGCTGCTGCAGCACAAATCAGGAGGGTTTGGAGGGGAAGGGCGCGGCCCCCAGGGTGCCCTGACGGGCGACGTGCTAGGGAGCCGCGCAGGCCCCCGAAAGTGCCCCGACGGGCGACGGGAGGGGACCGCGCGCAGGCCCCTAAGGCGCCGTGACGAGGCAACGGGAGGGGCCGGCTCGCGGGCCCCGAAAGTGCCGCGACGAGGCGACGGGAGGGGCCTGCGTGCAGGCCCCCAAACCGCCGCGACGAGGCGACGGTCAGGGCCAGTGCGTGGGCCCCCAAGACGCCGCGACGAGGTAGGAGCCCGCCGCGCGCCTCGGGGCGCACGGCGGGCGGAAAACCGCCATGCGTTCCGAGCGCGTGGCGGGAAGAAAAATAGAATGTCGCGCGCCACAGGGCGCGCGACACACAGTAGGGCAGCGGAAGCAAGTGGGCCCACAGGCCAGGAGCTTTAAGCTCTGATAGCATATTTAAGTTCTAGAGTGTAGTAGGCTTAGAAGCCATAGTTTAGGTGCCTTAGTAGCTTAGGTTTTAGGGTGTAAGCAAAATGTCGAGAAAGTTGAAAGGAGAGAACGTGATTTACTAACAAGAGTTGGGATACAAGTACAACACCATAAATTGGGTTGTACTCATTACAGAGTACCCCATTGTAGGCTAGACAGCAAATACATTCTCACAAAGCGAGGGTGGGAAGGGAGGCAGAGACCTGGTGTGAGGATCTAGGATCGAGCTCAGAAAAGAGAATGTGAATTAAATGAATTGAATGATCACCTGGGTACAACACGAGGCTATATATAGGCTCGACACAAGGCCCTATAACCAGGTGTTACGCGAAGGTTCCGCGGGCCGCGAAGCGTCCCGAACAGATCCTGACCGAATTCGGTAGAAGGCAATTCGGTGGCAATCGAAAAGCCAGAATTCGGTGCACGCAACCTAGCTCGGTGCTATAACTACAATAAAATATAGGAAAGCACCTAGCCTAAGAAATCAAGCAATTCATGCATGCATATAATTATCCTATGCTAGAAATAGCATAATAAAGAAAAGGCAAGCAAGCATAGCTGGCATAAGCCGTCGTACTCTCACACGTCCCCCCCTCAAAGCTGGGTGGCGTGAGATACACCCTGCTTGACAAGATAGTCCTTGAGAGCACGGCGTGCGTTGCCCATATCAGCTTCTGCAACCCAACTGTCCAGTAGATACTCTATCTGTTTTTTCATGTCTGTCAGTTCAGTCGGACTCAGTCGGTATGGTGCACGTGAGTCGGGTTTCGCACCTGGTTCCTCCACGATCTCGTGCTCGTGGGTGCGTGCTGGAGGTACGCCTGTGGGTAGGTCGTCGGGCATTATATCCTTGTACTGCTCCAAGACCTCCTCCTCTGCTGCTGCTATAACCAGTGCTAAGTAACCCGTGTTACTCTCGTTCACTGTCCGTTCGAACCGTGCCAGTGTCGTTTCAGGAACGCTCCCTGTATCCGTCGAGCTTCGCAGCTCCACTCGTTTCCCGTTGTTGTAGATGCACGTTTTCCGGTTGACCCAGTCGATCTCGGGGTTGAACCGCTTCAGAAAATCTTGCCCCAAGATGAAATCTAATCCCTTGATGTTCGTGATCGGCAACGTCGGCTTCCACCTCAATGCCCCTATCTGCAGCTGCAGTGTTGACTTTCCGTGGATGGAAAGCTTCGTACCGTCCACCATCGTTGCTGTAAACTGTGTTTCTTCTGAGGATTCTCCAATTTTCTCCAACGTCCCGCGGTCGCACACCGAGTGGGACGCACCACTGTCCACCAGGGCCTGGAGGCGACGCCCGTTGCAGATCACCTCGAGTACTAGTGGTTGCTGCTGCTCCGAGTATCCGTAGATGGTATCGCTTATAGGATCGTAGGGTACGTCGAATATGTTATCCCTAGGTCTTGCGCTCAAAGATGCAGCTTCAGTATCAGTTTTCAACTGAGAAAGGTTTAGAAGGATTTATCCGAGGCCGATTCGGCTTCTCTTGGGCCTGGAACCTTCCACTAAGCCTTTGCAGCTGTGTAGGCTTCATCTGTGGGGAACAGGGAGCCTTTAAACAGTGCTGCTGGGAGAGAATATTAACTCCACGGAACGCTCGACCAGTATTAGCGCTCTGGAGTAGGGTCCCCATAATACCCGGTACCGGTTTAATTTCTGACTCTCCCTTAATATAGGCTTGAAACCCACGAGAAGTAATATTCTTACTTGTCGGGGTATACGGCTGGAGTTTCCCGGTCGGTGCAGGGTCTTGTTTCGCGGATCCTCCATTAGTCTCGGCGATTTCCCCTGGTGCCGGCTGGTCGTGACGTTTTAAATTTGCGCCACCATATTCTCCTTTTTTCGCCCTCTCCGAAGTTGCCACGTTGTCCGTTTTCTGCTTCGGGGGTGCCGCACTGTTCTTCTCCTTCAGCTCCGCACACCTTCTCTTCATTTTCCAACACGCCAAGATACGATGTCCTGTAGCGCCGCAAAATTTGCACGTCTCATTATTTGCTAGCCGCTGCTCCACATCGCCCTCGTCGTTCTCCATCGGGTCGGCAGTCGTGGGTGGTGCCAATCGCCCCATGCCACTAGTTGGCTTGTTGCGTCGTGTTCCGTAGTAGCTACTGTTCAACGTGTCGAACTGTTCGATCAGTGCTGCCGGAAACTGCGCCCACGTCCCCTCGCCTTGGACTATTCTGTTGTTGATCCACTCTAGAGCTGGGCCTTGTAACAGTGTTGCTGCGAGCCGTATGCGCATTGCGTCTTTTGTCGGGGTCGTGCATCCAACAACTTCGAAGTAAATTTCGAGTTCAGCTACAAATCGACGGACGTCGTTTCTTTTTAGTGTAGGATCGAACGCCTTCGGTAGCCTCGGCTTCACTGCTTCGAGGTTAACTGTAGCTGCTGCCGTTGTCGCATGTAGATTTGTCGTTGTTGCCGCTGCTGCTGCTGCTACTGTTCTCGCTGTTGCTGTGGCGGTTGCCGACTGGTTCGGAAGGAGTTTTTCAAGTCGTGGGAGCGCCGCATGTATTTGATTATCCTCAGCACGTAACTCCGCGATTTTTTGTACTGAAATATCTCCTTTTCCCACCATTTGGCGATTTACAGGAAGATGCGCGGCGAAAAAAATCGAATTCTAGGTGCTGGTCGACTTACTACGAGTCAAGTTGACTAAAAGATCGACGAGCGCGAATTCTGTAGGTCGCGTAAATCTCCCTTAAGCAAAATTCGCGTCCGATCTTGGCCGTTGAAGAGAAAATCAATCCGACGCTCCAAATTCCAACTTTTTTGGGCGAAATTCTCTGGGCCGTTGAGATGAAACTCGATCGAACGGTCGAAACTCCAACCTTTCCACCAGTAAATCTGAGGGGTGTTCGAAAACCGAATCGAGGGGTAATTCGAAAAATTGCGCGGAACTGGTTTTACATACCCGTATCGTCGCCCCCGCGGTTTTTAAAGGCCAGAACTAAGCGGTTGAAGACCTCGCGTGTAAACCCGCTCTGATTACCATGTGTGAGGATCTAGGATCGAGCTCAGAAAAGAGAATGTGAATTGAATTGAATGATCACCTGGGTACAACAGCAATTCATGCATGCATATAATTATCCTATGCTAGAAATAGCATAATAAAGTAAAGGCAAGCAAGCATAGCTGGCATAAGCCGTCGTACTCTCACACTTGGGAAGACCAGAGACAAAGAGACGGGAGTGACACGGAGGGATGACCAAGGCGGTGGTGCCAAAGGAGCGTCTGGTGCGACAGGGCGCGACACGAGCAGGTGGCCGCTAGCTGACCTGACGCAGACGCAGCTACTTGAGGAGGAGCAGTAGTCAGTGTGTACAGACTCGACCCAGGCCGACATGTGGACGTGGCCAGGTGCCTGCCAGTCCGAGAGCACGTACAGATCGCCACATGCTGTCCTCCAGGGGTGAAGGTATCAACCAACTCATCCTGAAGGACGGCGTTACTTACCGAGTTCGTAGAGAACAAGGGGAGGTGGACACCTGACAATGAGCCAGACGGAACTGCCAGACACGAGAGAACAGTGGAGGAACGTGCAAGGACTGGGCCCCCAGAGGGGTCAGCCAGAGAGACAGCAACAGGTGCAGAGAGCGGTGTGACTGTGGTACTGTCGCGAAAGAAACAGCGGGAAGCACCTGAGTCAAGCGTGAAGGTGTGCAAGGCCGCAGCAGACGCAGTCCCAGAGAGAGCAGACTAACCACCACCTAGAGCAGCAGACTCACTAGCACCTAAAGCAGCAGCCTCTATACCTGGGTCTGGCGGCATACACAGGCAAGAGTCACTCTCAACACTAACAGTCAATGCATACATGGCAGTAAGGATAGCATCATAATCAAGAGCAAAGATGTCCACACCCTGCCTAAGCAGCTCTGCCCAGCGGGGGAGCTTAGCCGCGTCGGGAAACTCTGTGAGAAAGGTGTCGGTAAGACGAGAGAAGCAACGGTACTGGGTGTGGAGCTTCCCGCATGTCTCACTAGAGCGGTCACCTGTGCGAATGAAATACGGGCAGGGACCACTACCCCCAGGTGCCCCACACTGAACAAAGCACTCACGTAGCTCCTGGGGCGAAAGCTGACGCTGCTGCTGCTGCCTCTGACCACCACCAAGGTCTCCCCTTGACGGGTACCACCCCGGCCGCCACCACTGCCGCCGCCTCCACTCCCACTGCCGCCACCACTGCCGCCGCCACTACCCCTACTACCGCCACCACCGCCGTCACCTACACGTCCACCCCCACCACCACTCCCTCCGCCACCTCAGCCCCCTCCACCGCCTCCACCGCCCCCACCACCGCCTCCACCTCTGCCACCCCCACTGCCTCTGCCTCCCCTGCCACTGCCGCTACGACGCCTCCCACTAGGGGCAGATGCTGCTCCTACCTCCTCAGCACGAAGGGAGTCAACAGCTGTAGTAGAGGCGACGGAGGGGACCAGGGGGGAGGGCGAACACCCCTCAAAGAAGGGAGTGCGAGGAGTGCCACGAGAAGCCCCTACAGCTAGTATGCTAGTCTCAGCTGCAAGGAGGTGCTTCTCGAGCAGGTCGATAGTGAGGTCGGTGGGGTCAAGGGCGAGAAGGAGGTCCTTTGCAGCGCTAAGAGAGTCAGGGAGGCGGGTGACTATGAAGTAGAGAGTGATGTACATGGGAGGAGGGTTCTTGGTGAGAAACTCATGTAGACTAGTGATACTGAGGAGTGAAAGAAGGCAATGGAGAGTGAGCTGAAGAGCATCGAGGAGAATGACAGGTTTGAATTGGTGGAGCTACGGGAGGGGCGTTTGGCGATTACGTCCAAGTGGCTCTTCAAGATCAAGTCGGACGCCGATGGCATGATCGAGCGCTACAAGTCTAGGCTTGTGGCCAAGGGGTACCAGCAGAAGGAGAAGGTGGACTTCAAGGAGTTGTTTGCCCCTGTGGTGAAGCTGACGGCACTACAAAACCTATTGGCGGGAGCCTCCATCAAAGGATGGGTGGTAGAGCAGATGGACATCGTAACCGCATTCCTCAACGACGTCCTAGAGGAAGAGATTTTTATGTCGCAGTCGGAGGGGTTTGATGATGGTAGCGGCAGAGTGTGGAAGCTGAAGAAGGCCCTCTATGGGCTGAAGCAGGCCCCTAGGTAATGGTACATGAAGCTGCGCGAAGTAATGGAGGAGATCGGCTTCACCCCTTCAACGACCGATTACTCATTGTTCATGCTTGGCGAGGGGGAGCAGAGGAGATTCATGGTGGTGTACATGGACGACATCCTGATCTTCTCACCCTCCTCTGATCTAGTGAAGGAGGTGATGCTGAAACTTCAAGACAAGTTCAAGTACAAGTCCCTTGATGACGTGAACTTCTACCTTGGGCTCCACATCGAACGAGATGTGGAGAAGCGGTGCATGCCGGTGCACCAACGGAAGTACCTGGAGGCCTTGGCTGCCAACTTTGGGCAGAGTGAAGGCCATTTACTTCTGGGTTCAAGAGTGTGAAGGGACCAGAGGAGGAGAGCGTTGGTGAAGAGGAGAGGCGCCGTTTTCACTCGTTAGTGGGCAGCCTCACGTATGCGGCGGTAAAAACTCGGCCGGACGTGGCCTTTGCTACCCGGCAGCTGGCTAGGGTTGTGCAATTCCCTAATGAGAAGAAGGTAGCAGCTGGAATGAGGGTGGCCAAGTATCTTGGCCAAACACCGACCGTTGGGCTGCAATACTCGGCGGCGGCGCAAAGGCGCCAAATGGGCGCGGATGGTGTTCAACCCGGGCGTTTGTTCCTCACCGCCTACTCGGATGCTTCATATGCACCGGAACCAGAGGACATGACAAGTGTTGGAGGGTTCATTTGCTGTGTTGGTGGATGCCCAACTGCTTGGGATAGCAAGAAGCAGGTGGACCAAGCATTGAGCTCGGTGGAGTCCGAGTACATGGCACTCTTCCGTGGCGTATGGGAGATTGTGTGGCAGCGCAACTGTTGGCTGAATTGGGGGAGGAGCAGTAGGGACCTACCCCACTCTACTGTGACATCAAGGGTGCCATTGCTCTTGCTAAGAACCCTGAGTTGCACGGCCTCACCAAGCACATGAGGGTGAAGTGGCATTGGACGAGGAGCATGGTGGCCGTGGGTGAAGTTGAGTTGCGCTACGTGAAGACCACGTGGCATCCGGCTGACATGATGACTAAGAGGCTGGTGGAGCAGCAGCATTGGAAGTGTTGCAAGCTGGCTGGGATGGCTCTGAACTGAGAGAGCAACATATCTTAAGGCCAACAATCCGAGGGGGAGTTTGTTTGTGGTAGCGGAGGTGGGTGGTCGACGAAGGACGTCGACGAGAAGAGGTCAACGGGGACAAGGGCCGTGGAGGTGGTGGTCGACGGCGGGAGTAGGCGTCGAAGAAGACGTCGTCGACAAAGGACGTCGACAGCTCTAGCGGCAAGGGCCGAGATGACGGGGAGGCGTCGTGCTCCATGATCGGCGTGGAGGTGGTGGTCATCCCAGCCACCTTGCAGCACTTCGAATGCTGCTGCTCCACCAGCCTCTTAATCATCATGTCAGCCGACTGCCCCGTCGTCTTCACATAACGCAACTCAACCTCACCCGCGTCCACTATGCTCCTCGTCCAATGCCACTTCACCCTCATGTGCTTGGTGAGGCCATGCAACACAGGGTTCTTAGCAAGAGCAATGGCACCCTGGCTGTCACAGTAGAGTGGGGTAGGTCCTTGCTGCTCCTCCCCCAATTCAGCCAACAAACGCCACTGTCGCACAATCTCCCTTACGGCACGGAAGAGTGCCATGTACTCGGACTCCACCGAGCTCAATGGTTGATCAACCTGCTTCTTGCTCTCCCAAGCAGTTGGGCCTCCACCTACACTGTAGATGAAACCTCCCACACTAGTCATGTCCTCTGGTTCTGATGCATAAGAAGCATCCGACTAGGCGGTGAGGAACAAACGCCCGGGTCCTTTGCGCCGCCGCCGAGTATTGCAGCCCAACGGTCGGTGTTTGGCCAAGATACTTGGCCACCCTCATTCCAGCTACTACCTGCTCCTCATTAGGGCATTGGTCAACCCTAGCCAGCTGCCCGGTAGCAAAGGCAACGTCCGGCCGAGTGTTCACCACCGCATACATGAGGCTGCCCACCAACGAGTGAAAACGGCGCCTCTCCTCTTCGCCGACGCTCTCCTCCTCTGATCCCTTCACACACATGAATCCAGAGGGAAAGAGAGTAGCCACATGGCCTTCACTCTGCCCAAAGTTGGCAGCCAAGGCCTCCAGGTACTTCCGTTGGTGCACCCGCATGGACCGCTTCTCCACGTCACGCTCGATGTGGAGCCCAAGGTAGAAGTTCACGTTACCAAGGGACTTGCGCTTGAACTTGTCTTGAAGTTTCAGCATCACCTCCTTCACAAGGTCAGAGGAGGGTGAGAAGATCAGGATGTCGTCCATGTACACCACCATGAAGCTCCTCTGCTCCCCCTCGCCAAGCATGAACAATTAGTGATTGGCCGTTGAGAGGGTGAAGCTGATCTCCTCCAATACATCTTGCAGCTTCATGTACCATTGCCTAGGGGCCTGCTTCAGCCCGTAGAGGGCCTTCTTCAGCTTCTACACTCTGCCACTACCATCATCGAACCCCTCTGGCTGTGCCATGAATATCTCTTCCTCTAGAACGCCGTTGAGGAATGTCGTTACAATTTCCATCTGCTTCACCACCCATCCTTTGATCTCAGCTCTCGAGAGTAGGGTCCGCAGCGTTGTTGGCTTCACCACAGGAGCAAACAGCTCTTTGAAGTCCACCTTCACCTTCTGTTGGTACCCCTTGGCTATAAGCCTAGACTTGTAGCGCTCGATCTTGCCGCCGGCGTCCGACTTGATCTTGAAGAGCCACTTGGACGTTATCGCCTTACGTCCGTCCAGTAGCTCCACCAATTAAAACGTGTCATTCTCCTCAATGTTTTTCAGCTCACTCTCCATGGCCTTTTTCCACTGCTGAGCATCACTGCTCTCCAAGGCCTCCTTGAGAGTTGTTGGTTCTCCCGGCATCTCCACCGGGGAGAAGAACACGAACGCACATTCCTCATAGTCACTCTTCTCATCGTCTCCGACCATCATTGCCGCTCCGGCCAAGGCTGTCTTCCCTTGCTTTCCTGGTGCATCATAGGTCAGCCTATTTGGGTCTTGAACTCTCCTCTTGCCCCTTCCTTCCTCCTCAGCTGCAGGGACTTGAAGGCCTTGGCATTGCTGCGGTGTGACGCGGATCCATGGAGCACCCGTAGTGCGAGAAGGAAGTGTCGGTGCACGCCCGCTCACTTGCTGCACCTGCTCCTCTTCTTCCTCTGCATCCTTGGCCTCCTCTCCCCCATTCACAAGGGAAGATTGCCTAGTGGTGGTGCTGCCGCTGCTCAGCTCCAAAGGCAGCTCCACATGCTCCAAACCGAAACTCTTCACCTCCCCAAACAGCACGCCTATCTTCGCCTCATTGTCCGCCTTCCAATCCTTGTATATGAAGTTCTCCATGAACTTGCAGTCCCTGCTCACCAAGAATCTCTTGGTGAATGGGTCTCAAAGAAGCCACCCCTTGCTGTTTTGAGCCATGCCCAAGTGCACGGCCCATATCGCCTTGGCACCAAGCTTGTTGTGCCGAAGATGCTTAGGCACGAGCGCCATGCACATGCACCCGAACACCCGAAGCATATCCACCTTTGGCTTCCTTCCTAGCCACTCCACATAGGGCACCCATTTGTCTGCTCCCACATGAGTCAAGGCTCTGTTCTTGGCCACACACGTACTCCGCACCGCATCAGGCTAGAAGTAATCAGGTAGCACGGCTTCAATGAGCAACCCGCGTGCCGTCTCCGTGATTGTCTGGTTTGCTCACTCAGCGATGCCGTTCATTGTAGGGGAGTATGGCATGGTAAGGGAGTGCCTTATCCCATTCTTCTTCAGCCACAATCCGCACTCCTTGCTCAGGAACTCTCCCCCTCGATCGGTGCGGATTGACTTGACTAGCCGGTCTTGTTGCCGCTCCACCATCGGCAACCAATCGGTCTTCACCGTTTCAGCCACGTCGCTCTTCTTGGACAGCACGTACACCCAGGTCTAGTGGGTTTAGACATCCACAAGGGTGAGAAAATATTCAGCTCCAGCAGCCCCAAGCTTCAGGGGGCCCACCACGTCCATCACCACCTTATTAAGAGGTGCTTTTGCCGTTGCTTCCGAACTAGGGAACGGAAACTAGGTGAACTTGGCTTGAATGTACGTCAGGCAGCCAAGCACCTCATTGAGCTCCCCCTTCACACGTATACCAGCAACCATTCCATTCTTCATTAGCTGCTGCAAGATAAGCAGGGCCACATGCCCCATTCACCGATGCAAGGTGAGCCAATCACACTCCCCCGTAGCCGAAGTCGGGTTGGAGAATGCCGCGCTCGCAACTGCGCCCCACATGCTCTCTCCGTACTCCTCCTCCGCTGTTGCATCGGGGTTCTCCTCACCCTTTTTCTGCTCCTTGGCTTCTGCACCACTCTCCTCGTGTTCACCGAGCTTGCTGGTCCCTCCAAGATTGCACTTGTTGGACCCTTTCGCCTTGGCGCCATCGTTCGCGCCGTAACCTGTCGGAATCTTGCAGCCATGGCCTCTGTCTCTTCCTCGTGTGCCTGTAGGTCTGGTGT